AGACCATTTTTGCCCAGTCTCTTTCTTATGGTGGAGTCATGAACACTGCCCTTAACTGAGGCAAGTGAGGCCTGCAGTTCTTTGGATGTTGTTGTGGGGTCTTTTGTGGCCTTTTGGATGAGTCGTCGCTGTGCTCTTGGGGTAATTTTGGTCGGCCGGCCACTCCTGGGAAGGTTCTCCGCTGTTCCATGTTTTTGCCATTTGTGAATAATGGCTCTCACTGTGGTTCGCTGGAGTCCCAAAGCTTTAGAAATGGCTTTATAACCTTTTCCAGACTGATAGATCTCAATTACTTTCGTTCTCATTTGTTTCTGAATTTCTTTGGATCTCGGCATGATGTCTAGCTTTTGAGGATCTTTTGGTCTACTTTGTCAGGCAGGTCCTATTTAAGAGATTTCTTGATTGCGAACAGGTGTGGCAGTAATCAGGCCTGGGTGTGGCTAGAGAAATTGAACTCAGGTGTGATAAACCACAGTTTTAACAGGGGGGCACTTTTTCACACAGGGCCATGTAGTTTTGGATTTTGTTTTCCCTTAATAATAAAAACCTTCATTTAAAAACTGCATGTTGTGTTTACTTGTGTTATCTTTAACTTATATTTAAATTTGTTTGATGATCTGAAATATTAAAGTGTGACACATGCAAAAAAATAAGAAATCAGGAAGGGGGCCAACACTTTTTCACACCACTCAGTATATACATAGGCTATATAGAATCGTTAACCAAATGTCAAAACATTACACAAAAATCTATTAACAAATAGCCAAAATTAAATATCTGTTAATTTGTTTATCATGCTATTTTTTTTATTATATTTCTTAAAATGTGTTTTGTATACATGGGCGTCGGAACCATTGAATGAGGGTGGGACAGGAGGACCCACCCACTTTTGAAGAGCAACGATATTGGACCCACCCACTTTTACCGTCTCTAATTCAGCGAATATGTGCACTTTTCAGAGCGCCGTCAGTCAAATCCATTCCACATGACGGATGCCCTAATAAATTAAACTCCATTTAGCTACAGCCTTGACTTCCACGCTGCTGCTTCCTCAAATCCATTCCATTCGGCTCATTCAGAGTCCATATAAATGAAACTCCATTCCGTGTTTTCACTACTCGCGCCTGCTGAGCTCCCACAACACAGCAAAGTAAACAAAGCATCAGCATCGAGATGCTGCTCAGATACACCTAACCCTACCCACCTGATACTTTGTTTCAACTTTTCGATTATTTCCTTGATTTTTATTTTTATTGAAAACAAGCCTTTCCGATGTGATATGAGATGTAAAAAGGGAGAAGAATGATTTCGGCAAAAGGCGGACGCGAACTCGCATCAAAAACACTAACGTTACCCAACCCGCGTTACAACTTACACCGTCTGTGTAAATAGTCTGTGCCAATCAGGCGGCCTATTTGCACTTTGTGTAGACACTGTTAATTAAAAGGCACCACACAGAAAATGGCATACTCCAGTATTTGTTTTCAGGGGGAGGACCCACCCACATTTATTTTGCTTCCGACGCCCATGTTTATATACAATCTCCTCATCATATATATATTAAATTACTGAGTGCATTACAGGTTTTAGCCTGTAAACAGGTTTTAGTCTGTTTTAGCATTACAATATTATAGGAGGTGAGTAGGCTATGCAAGTTTGGTAAACAAAATTAATTTTTGAATTCTTTCGAAGATGAATTTATATAATCGAAAAAGCCACCATGACATTACTTGTATGGCCGTAGTCCAATAACAAACTACCAACAGTCAGAAGCAGCACTTAAGTTTATTAGGTTTCTAATCCTCTTATGATAAGACCCAGTGCACCGCTCTTGATTGGAAGCCCCGGTATCCGGATATGAGCGAGCGTCACTCAATCAGCATCAGGCGCAACAGCAGCCGCTCTGGGGAATGCCTACAGAATATCCAAACTGCCCGACGGACTTTGATGCGAGTGAGACGATCTTCCTATAAGTTGCGTACAGTCGCCTGCACTTCACCGGCGATGTAACTTCTAGTGCTGTGAAATAATTATGCAAGAGAACAAACCGGATTGCTTGTACCTGCGATATCCCAAGGACATAATGTTTTCGTCTGTCCCTCGATCGGGATTTGTGGTCTTTTGCGTGGTAAATCCAGTTTTATTTCTCTCGATACGTGACATATTTACTGAGAGAGCAGCATGTGCTCGGCAAGTTGAACACTGCTGTTACTTTGCCTTTTAAGACTGCGCAAACTTGTTGAACTGCTTTTGAACACCAAAATAGCCCTGTGTTAATAATCAGCTAACAACCTATTAAATAGCAAGAAAAAAAATGATGTGAACTGTGCTTGGTGTAGTTTCAGCGCTCTCTGTCTGCTACTATTTTGTCAGAAACGTGTTAATAAGAAAGCTTTTTTGGTGAAATGTACTATTTAAATGCAATTCCAACTTCTGAACTAAATAGCAAGCCTTGTTTCTCAAAGAGCTGACCAAGCGCACTGCATTCTTGTGGCAAATACAATCTGTTATCAGGTCATCACAGGATAATCCCTCACTGTTCTTTTCACATGGAACACAATAATGCATGTTTAAGTCCCTCTGTGCTTCTGAAAGATGTGGTTGTGCATTCAGCAGTAATGCTTACTCAAGATCAGCTGCTGAGTGCCTTGCAATCCTTATATTATTTTATTACCTATTATATTACCTATTTTTAAATTAATAGGTCACTCAAAAATGTACATTTCAGACACTTTATTGCCATTGTTGGCCGTTTTTGCTCGATTTGGTTAACGAAAATAGATCCAAACAAAGATATTTATACATTCTAGAAATTCAGATATTTTAGTACATCATACATAACTGTATTAATGCTCTCTGTTTTCCCCCTGATTTGTTTGTGTGTGTTTGTGTAGATTTTAGTCCTGGCTTGTTCCCTGTACCCTGTGCTGAAGACACTGTGTGTTCAGATCCACTCTGCTGTCACAGGAAGCTATGTGGCTGGATATCACTCTGTGCTGCTTGTCAACTGTCCCACAGAACAAACTGCTAGAGACATCGGCAGGTATTGTACTTGCATACAGTGATACAGAGTTACAAACTCACACAAGGAAATAAATATACAGGATTAGAAATAAGCATAAGCTTCATTGTAGCTATTAAGTGACATACTTTGTCTTCAGCCAACAGGTGACAAGGGTGTGTAATGTTTACAATTTGCGTGTGACAGTCAGTGACATACAGTACACGGAGATGTGATTTTTCCGTATTTTCTGACCTCAGTGGGATGACCCCGTGTAAATTGCTTAAATCCAATAGTGATGGGAAGTTCGGATCATTTTACTGACTCGGCTCTTTGAATCTCGTTCAGCAAAATTAACGAATCCTTTTTCAAGTCATTTCGTTCATTTCAGCAGAATATAGTTAAAATGTTACATGTTTATATCCAAATTCCCAACACATCTATTTACACAAGCATTGATCACATTATATAAAATATAATGCAGCCAAGACCAAATTATTACCTAGTTATTAGCAAGACCTAATGATTAAATGATTACCACATTCGTTATGGAAAAGAACCATCACAGAAATTCACAAATTTATAAATTGTAAGAAATAAAAAGCTATAAAGCTCAAATAAAAATTGAAACCAGAAAAATTACGTAACTGTAAGAGTAAAGAAACAAACTACGTGCTTGTTTGTAAGGAAGGTTGGGAATTATTAACTAATTTCTGTATCCATTGCTGCTCTCACGTCACGTGACAAAAGAACGAACGACTTGGACCCGAAGACTCGAGAGGCTCAGCAGAAGTGCACATCGAGGGTGCATAGTGGCCACAAAGAGGGCGCTTGCGAGCACCCATCTGAAAGCTAAAATGACGAATGGGACACTCTACGGTCTGGTGGACTAAACGGACACACGCATGCAGCGGCCATTGTTAGTCCTCAAGACCGAAAGTGCACATGAAGTGAGCCATTTGGGACAGGGCCCTAGTCTATGAGGCTGTCACGTGATGAACGAACGACTCATACCCGAAGACTTATGAACTAAGTCTTCCTGCGCAGAACCTATTGGATGTTGCGCATACGCGGTCAACACGAAATGAATGAATCTCTCGCTCAGACAAGTCGTCATTCCCGAGTCATATAATAGATTCGTTCAAAATGGGGGGATCGCGCGCGTCATCGTTTCCCACAGACTTACACTCTATGTGTGGTGGCACTTCCCCTGGGGGAAATATGTATGTATATAATGTAAATATAAAACAGCAGTCGGGCTTATTGAAAGTGCAGATTCGTTCTCTGCCAGCAGGAATAGCGGTTTCCCTGGTAACGGCTGTAATCAAAGCAGCGCTGCGCTCATGAACGTTACTTTATCAGGCATTATAGGAAAGATTAAATGAAAATGACATAACTTTTCTGAAGACAATCGGTTCCCTTCAAAAAAGATATTCATATAAAAACACCCGTGCCGCATTTTGATTTTGAAACAGTGCTCATGTTTATTCAACAAAATCAAAGCCTTTTGGAAAATCTGTTTCTGGCGGTCAGTGTTGAAAAAAATCAATGTATGGGAAACCCTGTGTGTGTGTGTGTGTGTGTGTGT